GGCTGAAAGCTGGTTTCTGGGGTTTTGTTTAGCTTCTATATTTGTTACAATGTTTCAAACTGCCAGCTCAGAGGCCGGCAAGGCAGGCGGGGAACGTTGGAGTCCTCCTTCACTGAAGCAAGCAAGCCTCATGTTCGCTTCCAACTGCCTGGCTGCCAGCCGTCATCTTGGCTGGCAGTTAATTTGCATATCGCCCTGATTAGCCAATAGGAAGGGTAGCGGTCCTATGCTAATTACCATGTTCCTCTTTTATTAGATAGGAGGATAGCACAGAGAGAAGAGGGAGGAATGGTTCTATTTTGGAGAAAGGAAATGACACTAGGCAGTAATGTGAATCCAGAGGAATGCCTCCTTCTCTTGAGAAATATACTAAATTAATCTTTCAATGGTGTTGTCACTCAGTCCCCTCCAAAAATTAAAATCCCATCCGTACAATCATTGATACAATAGAACACTCCACTGAAGGGCTAAACACACATTCTTGTCAAAGGCACATGGACCACTCTCCAGGAGAGCAATATGCCAGGCAATAAAACAACTAAGTTTGTGTTTTTACCACAATGGTGTTTAATCAGAAGTCAACAGAAGGAAATTTGGGAAAGCCTAAAATACTTGGAAATTAAACATACGTCTAAATAACCCAGGTGCCAAAAAAGAAATCACAATAACAATTAGAAAGTGTTTTGAGCCTCCCCCCACCCCAGCCCTCTTCCCCACAGGCAGAGGACAGAGTGCTAGTGCAGGAGACACACACTGGTAGTTCAAGGGACACTACCAGGCTTGCAAACCAGGGCAGCAAATTCATCCCAAACAATCCCCCAGAACCTGACCCAAGGCCCCCCTTTTCTCTGACTTCTTAGTGAGCCAAAGCACCCCAACCTAGGCTCATTTCCCTGGCCCTCTCTTCACTGTCCCCAGCTTTAATAAACGTCCTCTAAAATTCACCTGGACTTGGGTTGTGAAATCTTTCCTGCATGAAGTCAAGAACCCACATACTACCAACTGGCCCTAAGCCAGGGGTGGGCAAACTTTTTGACTCGAGGGCCACAATGGGTTCTTAAACTGGACCGGAGGGCCGGAACAAAAGCATGGATGGAGTGTTTGTGTGAACTAATATAAATTCAAAGTAAACATCATTACATTAAAGGGTACGGTCTTTTTTTTTTTTTTTTTTTTAGTTTTATTCATTTCAAACGGGCCGGATCCGGCCCGTGGGCCGTAGTTTGCCCACAGCTGCCCTAAGCAGACCCACCAAGGGCCAGGTCCCCTTCCCAGTAGCAGTATTGGAGACATCCACTGCTAGTGCAGGAGACACCCCCTGGTAGTGTAGGGGGGGCACCCCATGGTAATACAGGAGATCCCACTAGTAGTGCAGAAGACACCTGCTGCTCGTGTTGGAGACACTCACTACTTGTTGGGACACATCTTTGTAGCTCTTAGCCACTCTGAGGTATCAGCTACATGGGCAAAATCTTTCCTTTACTGTGGTCCATGCTGCACAGAAAAGTGAGGAGCTATCACAGGGTCCACTGGCTCAGCAGGTAAAATGCGTGGACAGAGCACCCAGCATGTGTGTGTGGTCATCAACTAAGCTCATTTCTTCTGTCACCTGGTGATGGTTGTGTGAACATTCCATCCCAAACTTCCCAGTTTGACAACAGGATCATTTGAGCTAAAGGCAGTTGATAGGCAGATAGTAGAGAAGCTGCAAGTCCTCCCCCTGCCTAAAAGGACCGAGTCAGTCACAGGAGACAATAAGATCCCTCAGCATGGGGTTGGCTCTGGGAATCTCCATAAACCCCCCAACCAGCCCCTACCCTGGTACTGCTTCGGACTGTCATTTCCCACAAACTTGTTCTTATTGCAGTGGCAGCAGAAGCCGGACTTCTAAGCTGCTGCTGGAGTTACTCATTTCCTCTGCAAGTCTCCCATGTGCAGGAGGTGCATGTGTTAATAAACTTCTTTTTCTCATTAATCTTTTATTCCCGGGTTCCAGACAGGGATCGGATGGGTGGAGGGAATATTTTCCCTCCCTCACACTGGTGTCCAGCTTTGCTCCAAAGCCTTGGTTAGGTGTCCATCCTGCTGTTCTTGGGGCAGTCGTGTGCTCCTCCAAACTCTCACCGAGGCTGTCTCACCTCCTGGCTTCCGGTGGCCATCCAGGAAATCCCAAAGTCCAAATCTTGCTTCAGGCAAGAACCAACCAGTACCTCAGATTCTCAACAGGAAGTGAAACAGTAGGCAGTCAACTGGGAAAGGATGGGGAAACTTCCCCAGCCAGAAAAGTGGCAGACTCCTGGCTTGACTGAGAAAAACCTCCCGGGTACATAATTTGAAGGAATTGTTCAAAGTGGTACATACATTTTTAAAAAAAGTCCAACAATGGGAGAATGAGTAAATAAATAATCAAGTAACTAGCTATTGAACACCATGGAACCTAGAGCTGTTGATCAGATTATTTGAAAAAAAAGAATCCCATGGCAGTTGCATGAAATGCAGCCAGCCACTGTGTCCCCAACTTTGCTGTGGACGGTAGGCCTTTGCCCATGGACTCTCCCACCCAATTCAAAAGTGGCATCACAGACAATGGTTAGTTTATTTACTGTAAGGATGGTCCTTACCACAGATAAAATCTTGGGGTACACACCTTCTTGTGAAAAAGCACCAAAACAAGCCAATAGAAATCCTGGATTGAAGTGGGGGAGGGGGGGGGTCTACGCAGCTTCACCCCTTCCCCAGGCAGGGCCAGTGTCTTTTCTCAGCTAGTGCTCAGCTCTGGGGTGGGAAGGAGCATTCTGCAGAAGCCCACAGTGGCCCATGCTGGGGGACTTGAGGGCTTGTACCCAGGTTCCTCAGACCCCTTATTAAGTACCTTTTGCTCTGAGCACTCTTCCTCTGGCCTTTCCCATGCCCCCCCTCTCCTGATGACTGCTGCACCCCGATTGATGGGGCATCCACATCCAGCACCATTTTCTAGGACCAGACCCTGAGACAGGCTGACGGACTCACCTCCCTCCCAGCGGCCTCACAAGACAGCAGCTCTTTGGGGATACAGCCCTGGGGCTGTCAAGGACTCAGGCTGAAGCCTCAGAAAGTTCCACAAGCCCTGGCCTCAACGCTGACCAGCTGGGCTCCTGCAAACAGAGCTCCCCAGGACCCTGGCTTGGGCTATGCAGAGGACTGTGAGCAATGCACTGGTGACATCAGATGGCCATGGAAGGTCACCTGGGAGATGTTGCTGGCCCCACAGTGTTGGCTTCCCGGGGATGACAGAGGTAGAGGGATTTTACTAAGCACACAAAGTGGCATTGGGAGCTCTTCCTGTGGCTCAGGATACCCTTGGAGACTCAAAGGCAGGACAAAGGCATGAGACACCTGCTCACTGGGAAGCCAGCCCATCCCCAAGCACTCCCTTGGGTCGGCAGATGGTCATGGGGGTGGGGCTGCTAGACAGAGGTGAGAAGAGGGCCCGAAGCGTCCCTGAGAAGGGCGTCTCAGGGAAGGCATACAGGAGTGACCCATCGGTGGCGCTGTAGAATGCCAGGTGCCCGGCCTCGTAGTCCAGAAAGATGCCTACACGCCGGGGTGGGTCTCGAAGGGGGGCAAAGGCCCGCTCAGAGGAGTTGTAGAAGCCCCCCAGGAACACCAGGATCCAGAACCCATTGCCTGCAAAGAGCTCGCCCTTCTCCTTACGGTTAGCATTCTCCCTGCAGACACCCAAGGCCCAGCTGGCCCGCTCGCCCACCTCCACCTCCCAGTAGTGGCGGCCGGAGCTCAGGGGCTCCCGGCCCAGCACACAGGGCCCGGGGTCAAAGCGCTCGGGGCTGTCAGGCAGGGGCTGCCGCAGGTCCCCCCGCCGCACACTCTGCATGTCTTCCGACAGGACCAGCTCAGGGTTAGCAGTGTCCGGATCCAGCGTTATGTCCCCTGCAGACAGAGCAGTGGTCACTTCAGGCCCCTTCCGCCAGCCTGCATGAAGTCTGCCCTCAAACACCCTTACAGTTGGCTAGAGTGCCTGCTCTCCATCTTGTGTCTTCCTCGAAAGATCACCTAACCACTTGCAGTTGCAACTCGGAATGTTCTGGAAAGCGGTCATACACTGCCTTGCAATTCACTCTCTTGAAATTCAGGAGGAACCGGAGTCCTTTCTATGTCTACTCTTCCAATCCTCAGAGTGTTCAGCCCAGCTTTCATACTGGGCTCCCCAGGCCTGGGCCTACACAGGTGTCCTGGCACCTGATGGACCAACCTTCACTTTTCCTAAATGCACCAGGACAGCCCAGCCTGGCTGGCCCTCCCTCAGCAGGCTGCCCTGACCCCTCAGCTTCTCAGCCATGAACCAGAGCCTCCGTGCCTTTCCTACCACAGGCCCTGGGATGGGCACTTCTTCTGGACCAGACCTGGCCAGCTGGGTCCCCC